CTGAGGTGGACTGCAGTTTCGACCTCGCATCGGTCTTATCAACACCCTCAGTGGGAGTCGAACCGCGACACGCTTGACACGCTAACCACTCGGCTACTCCCGATGAGGGTGTTGATAAGACCGATGCGAGTTCGAAACTGCAGTCCACCTCAGCCTGGATGAGAAGAACATTTGGGAAAGCAAGGCTATGTGAAATTCAATGGAAATGTCAGCTCAAGTCATATCATTGTGGGAAAATTCTTCTTCTACCAGTCCTTCATCACCTTAGACGAAATAGGGTGATTACATCTCATTACACTGATTTACTGGTAGTCTCGAAACCCTACTCTAACACGAATATCAGTTTTCCCGAGCCGGCTCGAAATAGGCATCCTCATAGGCTGAATCAACGTGCCAACCTCCTGTCCCATTAGATTAAGGCAAAGAAATAACATAAACAGGCAACTAATTCTCGACAAGAAGAGGCAAAACCGAAACGAGATTAAGCATACATGAATGTATAGTATGCTTTCAATATCATTGTGTGATTACGAAACGCAAATTTATATTGATGAATATTATGATAAAGCATTATTGTAATTAATTTTATTTCGATTACATTTGTCAGGACAACGTAAATAAGAGGTGTTTCCAAAATCAAATTATTAGAGCACATTGCACAGGCGAGGAATGGTTGAAGAAAGTAAGGTGAAAACTATTCATGCTTGATTGATAAGCATAATGATACAGAAGGTGTTGGGCAAACTACAAAATGAAAACAATATAAGTTGTCGACTCAGTAATGTTGTTAAATATATTCGCATTTTATAGAAGTTGTTTTACCTTGGTTTCGTAACTTGATCATATTAGCAGGAAGACCTAGAGGAATGCACCTTGTCCCGAGTCCAAGTTGGACCGTGGACTTGGTACATTCACTGACGCTTTGTCGGCATCATAGTCGACAGCATCAGTGAGTCTTGCCATTCTCGGTAAAACAGAGCTACAACTCGTCAAAGAGGCGAGTGAAGTGAATCCCTTCACCAACTTTATGTCGAAGCGGTTTTGCTATCACTCCTCGTTTTGTCCTGGTCCCTCTATCCATTGCCTACCTTCTAATCTCGGCCTCGTCATGCCACAACTTCTGATGTGTCCATATTCCACAAGAGACGTGTCCTTTTTTGCGAATTCACCGTGGCGTCCTCACACCTGCTGTTTCCCTTCTTCCCCTCAACCTTCGAATGGCTGATCCTGCTCTTGTCTCCTGTCCTGATCTGCCTCATGGGCCGGTGGGTCCGTTTCCAATCCTTCTGCTTGACCGATTTCACTCGGTTCCAGCCCCAGCGTACTTTTACTCCAATTGCTGTTTCTCAAGACTTCAGCAGCACCTACAAAGTCGTCTTATCTTCAAAGCGCAAAGGCTCTTATTCCCATGCCTGCGGATATTGGGCATTACTTGCAAACATCCTCTCCTCGATTCAGCCCGTGTACCCTGAGCAGATTGTGGACATCTATCTCTGGTCGCCGGCTGCATCTAAAGTGGCTTATGCGGAGGATACGAAACGGAACCACGTACCAATGAGGCAGATCCGGACAGAAGACAAGAGCAGGATCAGCCAGTCGAAAGTTGAGGCGACGAAGGGAAACGGCAGGTGTGATGAAGCCACGGTAAGTTCGCCGAAAGGGCACATCTATTGTGGAATGTGAACACGTCCAAAGTTGTGACAGGACTAGGGTCGAGACTAGAAGGCAGGAAATGGACAGAGGGACCAGGACAACACGAGGAGTGATAGCAAAACCGTTTTGTCATAAAGTTGGTCAAGAGATTTACTTCACTCGCCTCTTTGACGAGTTGTAGCTTGTTTTACGGAGAATGGCACGACTCACTAATGCTGTCGACTACGATGCCAGCAAAGCGTCTGGAAATGTACCAAGTACACGGTCCGACTTTGGAAATGATCAAGCATACTATGAACTCCGGACATGGTGCATTCCTCTAGGTCTTCCTGCTAATATGACCAAGTTGCGAATCAAGGTCAAACAACTTATATACAACGAAAGGAGACTGTGACCACACAAAAGGCTACACCGTCTTGGTCTTCATACCTTCGATGGAAGTAAGATTGCCAAACAATGCACCTATTACAGCCGGACAAAGAAGACAAGTGTAAGTCAATCCTGCCAATTTGCCTTTTTGAATTGTTGCTAACATTATGGCATTGCTCTTCGATTCTACAATTTAATGAAGAAGTATCATTCTGACACTGTTAACTAAATACTTTATCACGCCTCCATCCAGAAATCAGAGGAAAGTTACGAGACTGAGAGGCGTAAGTTATTTAAGTTCGTAGATCTCAAGTCTAGATTAAGGAAGAATTTAGGTAGGGTTCTCACTTTGAATGATTTTAAAAAACTCCAGAGCATGACCGACCAGAAGTGACAGAGGGTTAGGGATAAGAAATTGCTTAACTATGGGATAATAAGACACACCAAGCCAACCCGGGCAAATTTTGATGGTTCTTTATTGAAGGCATCAAATGCTACAGACGACGATAGGACAAAGGAAGTAAACCTATCTTTAATTCCTCTGGATTATAAAACTACGGATCTCTTAAACAAGGGGTTTCATTTTTCCCTAGGTAACGAAGGAAACGGTCTTAGTGATATTCCGGTGGAAGTTGTCAACATAACTGATAAATTTCCAGAAGATACAAGGCGGGAGATGGAACTGGAAATAATCCCACATCAAGAACCGATACACAGGAGAAGATTGGCTGGTATTCGGAAAAAATTACAAAAGAATGATCAAATAGTTTTTCAGGCGGATAAGGAAGGAGCGACGGTTGTAATGGACAGGAAACAGTACACAGAGAAAACGGAAAGTATCCTTGGCGACCGGAACACTTATCAAATAATAAGGAAGGATCCAACCACGAAGATCAACAAGATACTGAATAATATGCTCACGGAAATGCATAACAATGGGGAGATTGATAGATGGATGATGAAATCTGTAATAAAAAATGATGCAAGACCACCGACAGCCTACGGACTACAGAAGATACACAAGGAAGGAAATCCTCTAAGACTAATAGTCAACAACAAGCACGGAGCAATACACAAACTAGCGAAATCCATTTGTTTGAGGCTCAAGAAAGTATATGACAGACTCTCGAATACAGTCAAGAATTCATATGAATTTGCTCAAAGGATCCAGAATATTGGGTTGGTGGGGTCGGAACTGTTGGTGAGTTTCGATGTACAATCCGTGTACACAAACATCTCAGGGGAGAAGGCGGTAAGCGCCTTGCTGGAGATTTTGGAGCGAGAAGAGGATATCCTGGAGGCAGAACGGATACAGAAGGAGTCGTTA